TCTGCTCCCCCGCCTCTCCTTTACCTTATCCTGTAGGACACTTCCTGCGGGAGCCGCAGCTGCGGCGTGCTCGCCAGCCCCTGCTCCGGCAGGCTTTATCCCGGCAGGAAACGAGAGGCCCCTGCCCCCGGCTCCGCGGCGCTGGGCGTTGGGCGCGCTGACGCTGCGGTGGGGCTTCCCGAGGTGCCGAGGGTTTTCTGATGCATCGCAGCGGGAGCTGCAGGACGCACAGCCGGCCCTTCTTCAGCTGGTTTGTGGATGTTTGCTGGGTTCTTGGCACTGAGCAGCTGTGGAGCGAGGTCGGCTGGCCTCGACTTTGGAGGGGCTTGAGTTCACCCTCCCCTTGATCCAGCACACGAGGTCATGGCACGAGCTGCGAGGCGCTGGCCCCCGGGACCACCGGCTGACCGTGCCAGCACGGGGAGGAGGAACCTCACCAAGATATTTCTCCCATAGTAAGCATGTCGCCGTGTGTTTCCCAACTGCTGCACTAAACTGGGGGAGAGGTGGGACCCAACAGCCCCTGGCTGCAGCTTGTGCTACCAACTGCTTTTGGTTGTGGCCAGGAGAGCCTGAGAGCCGGAGCCACGCTGCTGTGCCCAGCCGCTCGCCCTGCTCTCCCCGTCAGTTGGGCTGTGCTCGCTGTGGGGTCACCGAGACGTGACCGACACACAAATGGTGAGCTGCACACTCCCAGCCATGAAATTATCTCGGCTGATGCCAGGCTTGGGAATTATAACTGGTTCCTGGCTTTTATCGCTCTTTCAGCAAGCTTTGCTGCGTCGTGTGACCAGCAGGGACCCATCATGCAAATGTGCCTCTAACTTCACTGGTGTAGGTCAACCTCCTGCAGGATCTGGCCCTAGATGTCTGTGCAGGGGCTGGGAGGCCGTGTTGTGATAACAGTAGCGTGTCCTTCAGATGCTGATGTGAAAACAGCAACCTTGCTTCCCCGCTGTCCTTGCAACAGGGAGAGGTGGCTGCTGTTCTCTGGTGGCTGTGTAATTGGCTGTGACGCTCCTGATATCTGTGTAATCTCCAAAATTACCATAAAACAGTAGATGCTTCATGAAGCAAAATGGAACAGGACAGGATGCAGAGCATCCCTTGTGAGGAGCTTGTTTAGCTGATGCAAGCCAGGATCCTCCACTTCAGCCTCAGGTGCTCCGAAGCGGGGCACGGCAGCCCATGTTATGGTTTGTAAATCCCGCTGTTCGTCTTTGGACTTTATAAAACTGATGCTCTGGAGCAATTTGTCAGGATTTTCCCCTAAAACACAGCATCCTGGTTTTGGCTACATCTGAAGTGTGGGGTTTTTTTTCTCTTTTTCAGTTGGTTGGCATCATTCTCGCCTGCTGCCTGTCCCAGTACATCACGAACAATCAGTATGAGATGGTGTAGCTGGCCCCCAGCACGCTGTGGCTGTGGCCGGGTACGTCTGTCCAGCGGTGTAAGCGCGGTGGGCCGCCTCTGCATCCCTGGCTGCTGCTTGGTCACCCCTGGGGACCTTCAGCACGGCAGCGGGTACCACTTTTGGGGGTGTGTGGGGCTGGAGGGCAACTGCGAGACTGTGTCTGATACATCATTTTGAGCTGTGTATAAATCCAGCCTTTTCTGTTAACGCTTTGTCTTGTGCATTGCAGGGTATGCTCTGCGCGGACAGGGAGGATGCCACCACCTCCAGTTTTCCTCGGGATGCCGCTTTGTGAAATCTTGCTTTGAACTGACTGATCTTCTTCTCAACTAGCTCATAGAAACGAGTGCAGCAGCTGTCCTGGTGCGCTCAGGGACTTGTCCTAACACTACTCTGCTGTGCCACCGCGTGGGATAATTAGTGTATCTGCGGTGGTTACAGCAAGCACGTTCCTCCGGGCGTCGCAGCCCCCGGCTCTTTATTCGGCGGTGCTCTCAAGTGCCGTGCCAAAGCCGATCGCGCGGGCAGCCTCGTGGGACTCCCAGTGCTCATCTCTGGTGCCTCCGTCGGGAAAGCGATGCGTCCCCTCATCTCCGGCTGCCGCACTCAGCAGCCCCTCAACGTCCCCTCGCTCTCTGGACACGGTTGCTCTCGAGATGGGGCTGTTGCCCCATTAAAATATGGCCCTGCCTGCCTGAAGCCCTTGGCTCAGCAAGGTCTCGGCTTGTTGCCAGCTCTCTCTCATCCCTGCCCTGGGTTTTATATACTTTTTTTATAGTTGTACTTTTTAAAGTACAGGCTGTAGTGATTCTTTGTAAGCTGTAGCGAGGTTTGGTGATGTAGCTCCTGGTGCCTTTACCTTGGTAGGTGTCCTTGCACCGAGTCAGCTGTGACTTGACTGTCAGTATTATATGCTGCTTATCTCGTTTTGTGTATCGAGTAGAACTCTCTTGTCCTGAGACACAATAAATATGAAGATATTTTACTCTGTGAACCTGCCTTGCTTTTCATCTCCTAGAAATTCTTCTGCTTGAGTCACTGCAAACAGCAGCAAAACCCCCCTGGGAGGTAATCCGCTCGCCCCGGGCCAGCTGGTAACCTCTGGACCATCGCAGCTCACGTTTCTCCAATGCTCACCGGTGCACTTGTGCTTACAAATAACTTCTGTAATTGAATTTTCTTCATAACAGCGGTTGTGTAACAGTGCTGAAACAGACGGCCTGGAGCATCCCAGCCCAGGAGCTGGGCAGACGAGTTCAACCCCATGCAAACGCGTGCGTCCTCTGCCCGGCCAGCCGCTTGCTGGGAGCAAAGGGCAGGGCAGCGCCGCTGGAGCTGCCGGCATCCCCAGCCTCTCCCTGGGGCAAGAAACGTGGATTTAAGCTTTTGTGTTCATTTGGCACCGCTCATCTTTGGGCTGTTTCATCAGAAAAAAACCTTTGCCTTACTGAGCGGGGTGCCGCAGCGGTGCGGGGAAGCTCCTCTTGCACCCAGCTTGGGGGATTTTCGGGTCTCGAGCACCGAACTCGCAAGGGCTGTGGCTGGGGGCAGCCGGCCCGGCCCCCGGGGGGG